CAGAACCTACTTAGTTGGTTTAGTTGTGTTTGATCAGAGTTGGAGCTAAATGCTGCATGAAAAGGGTTCAGCACCATTAAGCACCCCTGGCATAGACCAGTGTTTCTCAACTACGTTCCTAAAGGACCAACAACACTTCGTCCTGTTCTAGGCCTTTTACCTAGTGTACCTTTTCGATGTCTTCTTTGTCTGTCACACCTATTACAGCTCTTTCAATCTCAGCTAATGATCTGAATCAGGTGTGTTCAGCTTAGGAGACAAAAAGCGTGCAGACCTGGTGGTCCTCCAGGAATGTGGTTGAGAAACGCTGGCATAGACTGATCAAGACGGAAGACAGATGATTGGACAGGGTTGAGAATGTTAAATTACATGAAGGTGAGTAAATGCCCTGCTGAAAAATCCAGCTTAAACCAGCCTAGGATGGTTGGGTGGTTTTAGCTGGTCAATCAGCCTGGTTTTAGAGGGGGTTTGGCCATTTCCAGGCTGGTTTCCAGCTATTTCCAGCCTGGTCTTAGCTGGTCAGGCTGGAAAGTGACCAGCTAAAACCATCTAAAACCAGTTTGACCATCCTGGTTTAAGCTGGACATAGCTGGTTTTGGCTGGGCTCCCAGCCTGGCTAGGCTGGTGAAGCTAGTTTTAGCTAGTCATCTCCCAGCCTGTCCAGCTAAAACCAGGCTGGAAATGGCTGGAAACTAGCCAGGAAGTGGCCAAAACCCCTCTAAAACCTGGACTGGTCGACCAGCTAAAACAAGCCAACCATCCAAGGCTGGTTTAAGCTGGATTTTTCAGCAGGGTGATGCCAGAACTAATTGTATACATTTATAACACTATGCTAAATGCTAATTCCACTTAGTCACATTCCAGGCACACAATATCCTGATGTGACCCTGCAACTCAGGTTAGGGTGTACCATTTTGGTGTGTACCTTAAGTTGAACTCTGTATTAAAGGGGGAATTCACTCATATTCAACTGTGCAGAAAGCTCGGTGCATGTTTCTCTTAGTAACACGATGGTACAATAAGCAACACTGTATGAGTGAAATTCCACTTCACGTAATAAACCATTGTACTGACATGAAAGTAAGGCAAGGATTGAAAGAAGGATGATTCTATCAATGCAAATTCAGACTCGATTGGGAGTTGGTTACTGTGTGCATGTATGTTTAGGTTTAGAAGCTCGCTCTTTTGAGGGTACTTTTGTCAGATGAAGACTCTAGACTGTTCAAATATTTAATAGAAAATGACTTCTTAATATAAGTTGTATGAAGCTGTTTTATGAATATTTTTAAAAATGATAAAAAAATAACCAAGACAAGAAAACCACAGAGATGTGAAGGTATTACTAATTACTATTTTCATCTGTAACATACTTTTAAAACCGAAAACTCAGTCTACATTGCATATTTATTGTTATGTAAATCATATTTATAATGCTGTTTTCACAGAGAAGTGATTCTTTGTACATTGTAAATAGTTCTGTTTCTTGTGTTGATTGCATGTACGTGTCCCTGAGAGAACACATTACAGTTATTCCAAAGAAATGTTCGGTATTGCCTTTTCATTTTATGACATGTTTAATCTCCAAAGCTGAAGTATCCTTCCTCAGCATATCCAGCCTGATCTCACGAGAAAACAGAAGTATTTTACGTTTTGCCAGTTTAGTGGCTAATATAAATATACGAATTTGTACAATTTCAGTCGTACGAAATGATACGATTTTTAAAAGGAGGCGTGGCACCTAACCCCACCCCTAACCCCAACCGTCGTTGGGGGATGAGCAAATCGTACTAAATTGTACGAATTAGATCGTACGAATTCATACGAATTAGCTACTAAATTAAAAAGTTACGAATTGCCGTGAGATCGAGAGCATTGGAGTAAATTGATTTAGATTCTGACTGGACAGATTACATTACACCTTTTGATTTTACAATACTTTATATGTACATTAAAATACACATCGTAATGTTTGTTTTATGTAAAAGACAACCGTACTATTTAATGGTGGTGCTACTAATTAAAATGATAAAACATATTGCAAACAAACACACAAACTCATGTCTACACAAATAAAATGTACAATGTGTTTAGTAGGCCCCAATATAGTTCATGCAGAATCCAAAAAATACATATGATAAAATATTGAGTTTAAATCTCAAGCTTGTCAAAACAAACCTTATGGAAAAGTTTGCTCCAGCTGTTAAACATCTGTAACCAGTCATTAGTCTGTGACAATTAATATAATACTCAATTAAACTAATAATACTCATAGCGCATCTCTGAGGCCCCCTCTTCTTTTACAGTGAGATTTCTTCAGTATTCTTGTGTTCATTTAGTTGATATGTTCAATTTAATTAAATATAGACATTTTATTAGTTGTTGATTTCCATGGTTATTTGACCTCCAACGTTGCCGTTGTGAGTGCCCATTTTTACTATTTAAGGTACAAGAAGGGGCTAAAGCTATTTTCATTAAAGTAATATATTTGTATGAAGTAGCAAAAATAAATGTAGCATAAGAATAGAGAACAAAGCAGCGGCAGCATTAATGCGATTGATGTCCAGGTTTTATGTGGCAAGGTAGGAGCTGAGCTGAAAGGCAAAGCTCTTAATTTACCGTATAATCTATGTTCCTACTCTCACAGCCGAAATGAGTTTTCTTTGAAGGGTGGCAGGGCGCACCTTTGTAGATAGGCTGAGGAGCTCCGTCACTCGAGAGAAGCTCGGAGTAGAGCTGCTGCTCCTCCACATCGAGAGACGCCAGCTGAGGTGGCTCGGGCATCTGTTTCGGATAACTCCTGGATACCTACACGGGGAGGTGTTCCAGGCATGTCCCACTGGGATAAGACCACGGGGAAGACCCAGGACACACTGGAGGGACTATGTCTCGTGGCTGGCCTGGGAACGCCTCGGGATCCCCCCGGAGGAGCTGGAGGAAATTTCTGGGGTTAGGGAAGTATGAGGTTCTTTCCGGAAAAGCAGAAGAAAATGAATGAATGGAGTTGAGTGCTGAATTACAGAGTTTATGCAAAGATACCTTTACCGTTTTAATGATGATAGGTTTAGATAGTTTTGTCTTTTTTTTTTAAATCTGCATGAATCTGAGACTTTTATTTTAGGATGCTAATGTACTTGCAACTGAAACTGAGCAGGGGCGAGGCTTAAATAGAAAATTTGGATTTCATATGGACTTTAAACACATCAACACATCATGTTTTTTAAAAAAAAATCTTGCAGTTCTTAGTATTTTTCATGCAAGTGAGTGGTTATGACAAACCACCTGTAGGTGACATACTCTTTTCCTCTCCATAGACTCCAGACACCTTCTTTTAAGTACCAATTCTTCTTGGAAAACATTGCACAATTCTGAGTGTCATCCACAAAGGTGAGTGGGCTTGACAAACCACCTGTAGGACTCTTCTTATGCTCGGAGAAGATATAAAATAAAATTAAAAACTTAAAATTATCAGAGGTTTTATGTACTGCAACTCTCAGGTGATTTGAAGTGCTCCTTTTGTCCTCACTTATACGTCATAAGTTATAAAAATATAAAAGGCTGATAAAGATGTTTGCTAAATGAATTCAAAATTAGGATTTTTACTTCTTCCTACTTGAAAATAATGTCAAGAACGCCACTTTTAGACATCTGACGTAAACTTGGAGCAGATTGAAGAACCCCAACTTCAGAAAAATGCATTGTTTGATATTTCTTCACAGATGGCGGCTAATTATGGTTCAACAAGATTAGCATGGAGCTAGCTTATGTAAAGCATTAAAGCAAAACTTTCAAGTATTATTACAGACCAAAATGAGTGGGATCCCTAAAAACTAAAGGCTACTTCTGAGATGACTTTAGCTTTATTGTGCATTGTTATCCTTTGTTCGTTGTCAGCATTTTTACTTTACTCACTTGTAGTCACTCATTTATAACCTGGTAAACAAGATTGCCACTTGTGATTGACTGGAGTGCATTGAGGTTTTACTGATGAAACCAGCCTTCCAACATCTTTGTGTAGCTCAAATGGGGGCGCATGGCACTAGAAATGATAAGGCTGTGGGTTCAATACCTAGGTAAAACACAAACTGATCAAATGTATAACTTCAATGAAATGTAATATAAATGATTTTGAGTGTATAGACCACGACATTATTATGTTTTAGAGGATGCTCTCCTCGTGACAGCTGTTTTTTTAAACATGAACACATGAAGCCTCTAAATTTAGCATCTTTTTTTAATTTAAATATAGCATCTACTGACTGATAAACCAGTCAGTGTTCGTAAGTACCAATTCTCACTACTAAGAAGTGGCTTATTACTAGGGAAAGACGGAATCTGCAGATATTTTTTGCAATTTCTGCACAGAATTTTGGTAAAAATCTGCGGATTTATGTGGAATGGTTTAGGGAGTATCCCTAAAACCTTAATGTATGAAATAAAAAGTAAAACCTTTTTAACTTGTATTTATTGTAATAAATGCAATTAGATCCACGTTATTTGGTAAACAGTTTCCCAGAGATGGGTTGCGGCTGGAAGGGCATCCGCTGCGTAAAAACTTGCTGGATAAGTTGGCGGTTCATTCCGCTGTGGCTAGCCCGAATTAATAAAGGGACTAAGCTGACAAGAGAATGAATGAATGAATTTGGTAAACAAAGCAAGTGTCTTATATAGTATATCTACTAAAAGGCAGAAAATATTACTTTACAAACTGTATTGTAATTAAATCATATGAATATTTTCATATTAGTCAATAATATTACTGAAATTAATTTTTAAAATATGAATTTACACAAGTAAATAAACAGAATCGCTGATGGGCTAAAAATCTGCAGAATTCTGCGCGCACAAATTCTGTGTGGGCCTACTTATTACCTGCCGATATATTAAGATATTGACAGTTTATTAGTAGCCTACTTATGAAGTATGATCTTATTCTACGTCCCTAATCCTACCCAATACCTAAAACCAACGTTATAATAACTAATAACAAGCAACAAATAAGGAGTTTATTGAAAGCAAATGTCAGTCAATAGTTTGTTAACCATTGTACCTTAAACTGTAATGGTACCTACAATTCTTCTCATACGTCACCTCGCATACTGTACAATAAAGACAGCTTAGCTAAAGTTTAATAGGTGTATAGAGTTTTTCTTTGTCTGTTTTGATCTGAATAGCAGGTAAAACAAAACTGTTGAGCAATCGTTCATCTGCTTTATTTAGTCTGGGGTGATTACCATGCGTTTTCTTTGAGTCAGACAGATATACAAGAGGCTACACCTTTTCCCCTAACACACACACACAGCAAATGAAACACGACTCCCTGAACTGTTGCTTGACGCAGACATTTGGATTCCCACCCCATTCCGCAGTGGAATATAGGGCTCTATTTATAGAGCTGGTGGAGCCCGTGGCCCTGAGCTGGGCAGAACGCACTCATTAAAACCACTTTCCCAAGTACACATCAGCTTAAAGCCCATTCCCGTGCGCGAGAGTGGAAACACAGCAATAGAGTTCGAGAGTAAACAGTGTTAGCAAAGGAAGAAGCTGGAGGTCTACTGATACCCTCAACATGTGGGATATCCATCGGACCTTACATGACTAGACACTGCTTCAGCTGTTTGTCTTGAAGGTGACATCCAACTTGCGTGGATCTTACTTTCATTACGATCGTCCAACACAGAACTCAAGACCTGCAAAAACAAGGTGACTGAAGATTAACATAATCAACAGCCATGGTTTGAACTTCATTCAAATCTCTCTACATTTGGTTTGAAAGATTTAGCCATTTTTTAAAAAGAGCCGAAAGTACTGCAAAGAAAAGAAAAAGGAAGAACATCCCGAGTGCTTTTTGGGGTTGTAATCGGATCCCACACACTCTGCAGTAATTATAAAGCAGCGCTGGGAAGCAGTAAAGGAGATTTGTCATTAAGGCTGCCTAAATAAAGAGGTTGGCAAAGGGCGAGGTTTGTGGATTCCTCCGAACGCTTCATCCAGATCCACCCAGAGCTGCTCATGGACCCCCAGGGAGGCCACTATCTGAACAAGTCGGCGGTGCTGTCATGCCTTGGCGCTGCCCGAATGTGCCAGCTGCTCCTAGGCTGCACCACTATGGCTCTAGTAGCCCACAGTGCAGGCTTCAGCGCAACCTATGGCACTTTCTGCATGTTCGTCTGGTGCTTCTGCTTTGCGGTCACTCTTCTAGTCTTTACCCTGGATGTCACCAGGTTACATGGGTGCATGCCTATCTCCTGGGATAACTTCACTGTGGCCTTCGCCATGCTGGCGACTCTCATGTACGTCACGGCTTCAGTTGTGTACCCGGTGTACTTCCTGAGGTCTGACTGCCCGTCGCAAGGCTGCGAGGTGCGAAACTACCGTATCGCCGTCACCGTCTGCTCCAGCGTCTGCTGCTTCGCCTACGGAGCTGAGGTGTTCATCACACGGGCCAAACCGGGACATGTGGTTGGATATATGGCCACCGTTTCAGGCCTGCTTAAGGTAGTCCAAGCCTTCATCGCCTGCATCATCTTCGGTGCTCTCCACAATGACAGCCAATACAACCGGCACATCCCTACGCAGTATTGCGTGGTGGTCTACAGCTTGTGCTTCGCCGTGACCGTAGTGGTGGTGGCGCTCACCGTCTCAGGCAGAACGTCTTCCCTGCGTTTCCCTTTCGACAGATTTGTGGTCATCTACACCTTCTTGGCGGTGCTGCTGTATTTGAGTGCTGCCGTGATCTGGCCGGTTTTCAGTTTCGATAAGAAGTATGGAGCCCCGGGGAGACCGGACGACTGTCCTAAAGGAAAGTGTCCATGGGACAGCAAGCTGGTGATCGCAGTGTTTACTTGTGCCAACCTGGTGCTGTACTTCACCGATCTGGTCTACTCGCAAAGAATACGATTCGTGTTGAGTTCTGCAGCATGAAGCCATCTTGTTTTTGATGTGGTTGGACTTTTACTGGAGTACTGGAAATGAGGCAGGGAGAGCCTAAAATATACAGTGGTGTGCGCGCTAGTGTATTTGTAGGTATAGTTCAACCCAAAATGAGTACTCGCCCTTGAGTGGTTCCAAACCTTGAGTTTCTTTCTTCAGTTTAACACAAAAGAGGACACTTTGATGATAGATTTAAACCTGTAACTACTGACTTTACGTAGTAGGAAAAACAGATACAGTTGAAGTCAGAATTATTAGACCCCCCCCCCCCACCCCCCCCCCCCACCCCCCCCCCCCCCGATTTTATTTTATTTTTTAAATATTACCTAAATGATTTTTAAAAGAGCAAGGAAATTTTCACAGTATATCTGATAATTTTTTTTTTTCTGGGAAAAGTCTTATTTGTTTTATTTCGGTTGAAATAGAAACAGTTTTTAATTTTTAAAAAGCCATTTTAAGGACAAAATTATTAGCCCCTTCAAGGTATATTTTTTTTTCCTGAAAGTCTACACAACACCATCATTATACAATAACTTGCCTAATTACCTTAACTTGCCTAGTTAAACTAATTAACCTAGTTAAGCCTTTAAATGTCACTTTAAGCTGTATACAATTGTCTTGAAAAATATCTGGTCAAGTATTATTTACTGTCATCATGACAAAGATAAAATAAATCAGTTACTAGAAATCTGGGTTACACTTTATAATAGGGTTCATTAGTTAATGCGTTTACTAACATGAACTTATCATGAACAACACTTGTACAGCATTTATTAATCATAATTTAACATTTATTAATGCATTATTAACATTTAAGCCCATGCTTGATAACATTAGTTAAAGCACCATGAGTTAACATGAACTAACAAGAACAACTGTATTTTCATTAACTAAAATTTATTAACATGAATAAATACTGTAGTAAATGTATTGTTCATTGTTTGTTCATGTTAGTAAATGCATTAATTAACATTAACTAATGAACCTTATTGTAAAGTGTAACCAAAATATGTTTTGAAAAAATCTTCCCTGTTAAAAAGAAATTGGAAGAAAAAATAAACAGGGGGCTAATAATTCTGACTTCAACTGTATTATGGCAGACAATGGGTTATGTGTTCCAAGCTTTCTTTAAAATGTCTTAAAAGATTTAAAGAAGAAAGAAGGAAACTCAAAAAGGTTTGGAACAAGTCAAGGTTGAGAAAATGATGACAGAATTTTCATTTTTGGGTGAACTGACTGAAGATTTTTTTTTTTTTTTGGTATCATGTTGATTAGATTGAAACGTTTTTGGACTTTCTAGCAGGGTTGTCATTTTTTATGTTTTGTTGCGTTAATGAAGTTGTTACTTTGCTTACTAAAATGAAATCTAAAGAAGTGATTTTGGATTTTGTGTATGACATTTGCATAAAACGGACCTCTTTGACAGTTTTGACACAAAAGGAAATTTCTAGCATTATTTACTCACCTCATGATGTTCCAAATGTGACCCTGGACCACAAGTTAAAAGTCTTTTTTTTTTTTTTTTTACATCACATTAAAGATCTTTGATAAACTTCCTACTTTAGATATATCAGGACTAAATTTTTGATATGCAAAGCTAAAGATTTATTCTTGACAACTTTACAGGTGGGTTTTCTTAATATTTTGATCTTTTTTATGTTTATTGCTTTGTAGGATAAGCCAATATTTGTCTGAGATGCATTTATTTGGTAATCTAGAATTTGAGGGTTTAAAATCTTCAAAAGATTAAAAATATTGAGATTTTTTTTAAGATTATCTTTAAAGACGTCTGTAAAGTTCATTCATTCATTTTCTTTTTAGCTTATCTGGGGTCGCCACAGCGAAATGAATTGCCAACTTATTCAGCATATGTTTTTAATTTTTTAAAAGCAATTTTAAGGACAAAATTATTAGCTCCTTCAAGCTATATTTTTTCCTCATGAGTTATAAAAACTATTATGTTTAGAAATGTGTTTAAAAAAAATTCTCTGTTAAACAGAAATTGGGGGGGGGGGAAATAAATAGGGGGCTAATATTTCTGACATCAACTGTATTATGAAAGACTATGGGTTATGTCTTTCAAGCTTTCTTTAAAATATCTTCTTAAAAGATTTAAAGAAGAAAGAAGAAAACTCATAAAGGTTTGGAACAAGTCAAGGTTGAGAAAATGATGACAGAATTTTCATTTTTGGGTGAACTGACTGAAAATGTTTTTTTTCTTATCCTACAAAGCAACAAACATAAAAATATAAGAAATATTAAGAAAACCCGCCTATAAAGTTGTCAAGAATTAATATTTAGCTTTGCATATCAGAAATTTAGTCCTGATAAATCTAAAGTAGGAAGTTTATCAAAGATCTTTAAAGTGATGTAAAAAAAAGACTTTTAACTTGTTGTCCAGGGTCACATTAGGAACATCATGTTTTACGCAGCGGATGTCCTTCCAGCTGCAACCCATCACTGGCAAACATCCATACACACTTACTCACACATACACTATGGACAATTTAGCCTACCCATTTCACCTATAGCACATGTTTTTGGACTTGTGGGAAAAAAAACGGAGCACCCGGAGGAAACCCACACGAACATGGGGAGAACATGCAAACTCCACACAGAAACACCAGCTGAGACTCGAACCAGCGATCTTCTTGCTGTGAGAAAGAACTGTGCAGCCCATGTCTTTAAAGTTGTCCAGAATAAGTTCTTGGCAACCCATATTACTAATTAGAAGTTTTGATATATTTGTTCAAAGTAGGAAATTTACTAAATGTCTTTTATGGAACACAACATTTACTTAATATTCTATTGATTTTGGCAAAAAATAAAAATCAATAATTTTGACCCATTTCATGGATTTTAGGTCACTGCCAAAATTAGTGTAATTTGTGATCCAGGGTCACAAATATAGATGACCATTTATTCCAATTGTTAAGGTGCTCAAAGAACCTCTCTTTATGCATTTTGTGATACATCTACAAAGGCTTCAATGGGTTGATCAGTGTGTTTAATAATAATAATAACAACAACGACAATGCATTTAATTTATTTTGCACTTTATCTACACCAGAGTGCTACTTTAAGCATAATACAGACAAAAACACATTCAACTGAAGCAGTAAAAAAAGCCCTCCACAGCAGCAACAGTAAATATAACTAAGACTAAAATACCATCTTAAATAGCATGTTTTAACTGTTACTTAAATAATAATTGTGGTGACCTTTCTAACAGGCAAAGGAAGTGCATTACACAACCTCGGAGCTGCTACAGAGAAAGCTCTTTCTCCCATGTTTTTTTATTTTTTTAATCTAAAATAAAGTAGTTTGTAACTTCATTAAATTGTTACTTACGCTCAAATCACCAATGAAATAGTACTTTTGGATTCAGTGCACATCAGAATTGACAGAACTGTTCACTTAGGTATTGTCTATATATATATATATATACACCATGTTTTTTTCTTTTAAAAAAATACTGTAGTTTTATTTGTCATGGTGCTTAGCGAGCACTTCCCTTTATACTGTACTTCTCTATCAATCTACTCAGGCCCCAATGGTTGTTCAGTATGTCTTGTTTTTTTTTTTATAGATTGTTACTAACTTGCATTGTTATATGTACTCTCAACATATTTAATTAAATTAATTGTTTGTTATTAAATTAAATATGTTGTTAAATAAACTTGAATTCAAACTTGAAATCATTTTTCTTATTCTCGCAGCACCACTGAATACTTGCAAACACAAGTAGGGATGAATAATATAAACATACAAATTATTCAAATTAAGCCATTTTCTGTATGATTATGGTGGTCATTTATAACCTACCCTTTTTTTTTTTAATAAAAAATGCATTAAAATGTCCCCATACCAAAATTGGACACATTTTAAATCAATTTACATTATTATATCAATATAATAAAGTAATTATATATATATATATATATATATATATATATATATATATAATATTTACTTCAAATTAAAAGCAATAAACACCTAATGATGCTAAAAGAAAAGCGCCACAAACAGATTATTATCCTGACATTCCTATGTGGTTCCTATTTGGTCTTTTTTGTGAGTGTGGAACTAAATAAAAACATTCTGGCAGCGTTCTCTGTGGGTTCATTTTCTCTTTTTTTATGACCAAACTAATCTTTCCAGAAAGTAGTTTTCGTTGTTGTTTTGTTTGTTTGTTTTATTTAGAGTTAAAAATGTTGGGGTTAGAGAATGATCTATTTTACACTGTAAAAAAAGACTCAACTCAAAATTATAATGTAACTGCAGAACTTTTTTGAGTTGACTTTCAACCCAGGTACTGCTATTGACTTGATTTAAGTTGAGTAAACTCAAAAATGTCCTGCACCTGGTTGCCTGAAAATTTTAAGTTGAGTCAACTTTTTTACAGTGTACATAAGGAAATATTTCCAAGCTAACCAACAAAGAATGTTCTGTGAACCAAAAATCGTCAGCTGAGGGTTAACATCGAATTCCAATGACATTTTTGTAGAGATCAAACCTTTTACATACTCTCTGATCAACCATACATGACTCAAACCATCAGCTTATTTTTTAAAATAAATTAAATAAATGTAAAAATTACCATGGTTGAATTGAATAAACTAAACTGGCCGTAGTGTATGTGTGTGGATAAGTGTGTATGGATGTTTTCCAGTACTGGGTTGCAGCTGGAAGGGCATCCATTTTTTGTGAAACAAATGCTGGATAAGTTGGCGATTCGTTCTGCAGTGGTAACCCCTGATGAATAAATAACTAAGCCGAAGGAATGAATAAAATTACCAAGGCCAATTATAGTTAACACTTTAGTGTATTTGAACCATATTGTAAAATAAATATTATTATATTTACAACACTTTATAAATGCTGCACCACACTGTTTATAATAGTGAACTTATAAACTGTAGTAAATAATATAATACACTTTAGTTTTTTCTACAGTAAATTGTGGTGTATTGTAGAATATACCCTAGTTCAGGATGCAAATTATCACGGGGGTCAACGTTTTCAGTTATATTAGTTTGTGTAATGCTTCAGTCAATCTAATGTCTGCACTAATTTAAATGGCATCTAATTTAGTAATCAAACATATTTTACATGTTTTGTGGGATATTTAGTGTTCTGACCTACAGTATTCTCTGATTAGCTATTTTAGAGGTTACTGTAGGTCAAACTATGCAACTAATTAGACTACTTTTCGGCTATATGTAAAAACAATCAGCTATTTACAAGAAAAGTGTCTTACCGGTGTCTATCAGTGACCTGCTGGTTTCAGATTTTTTTCTTGCATGGACTGATTAACATTTACAAATCACAATGGTATGAACCATTTTAGGGCTGCTTAAATGTATATTTATATTATCTATGATTTGAATTATGAATATTATTAAATATACAGATCAAAGCAAACTATTTCTTACTATTTAGAGTACTGACCCGTCATGTATGTTTTGACGTCAATCCCCCCAAACCCCCCTGTAACTCACCTTGCCCTAGTTGCAGAACACACATTAATTCAAGTAGACCTTTGTAGTATGCTTCAAAAACACTACATTGTTTACAATAAATTACTATTGAGCATTTTGAGGGAAAAAAGAGAACTATATAACGATGTGCTGTCTTGAGGTTACTCAAGAAATATGTTTGAGAGCTAGTTGGTTAAAACAGAGCAAGAATATGCTCATGATAAGATAACTGTGTGTAAATAATTTATAAAAAAAACATGAAAAATACAGAATTCAGTAAAATATCACGACGGTGAAGATACCAAAACAGAGCAGAGCAGCAGCAAACCCTCACAAGATTTTCCTGTCTTTCTGTTGACACGAGGCCACGTGTTCACAACGAGTGATGCAACTGGCTTTTCTGACAGCAGAGCTGGCCAACCAGGACGCGCAGCGCACACATAAACTCCAGTGATTGGCTGCGGCCCAAGCACGTCTGTGCTGTGATTGGTGAACGCGTCGTACTCCACACACTCCACTAATGGCAGTTCACAGACAGCGTGAACAACACAACAAACAAACCTGAAATAAACTAAATATAAGTGAACCAGCTCTTCAGCACATCGTATTTTAGGTACGTTTCTTAGATAACATTTAAACATTCAGTTTTCAGCATTTATCTCGTTGTTTCTGCTGTGTACTGTATATTCAGTCATATCAGGAAATAGATAAAATATCGAGGAGACGCTGTTCTTCTGTTAACTTTACCTCAGCGGATGTATATTACTGTTAGAGACTAGACCGTGAACCCTTGTGTTTTGTTCAGCTGGTCAATGTTGATATTGTGGTCATTAACAGGTCAGAATGAGTGTGGGATTTATCGGAGCTGGTCAGCTGGCGCATGCGCTGGTCAAGGGCTTCACAGCCGCAGGTACAGCGACATTTACACACACTCACCACTAGAAAGCGCACTGCCACACGATAAAACACAACACTGAGAAATTATTAATCTTCAATTTTTGGAAAATGTGTATTTATACTTGATCTGAAAGTGAAATAAATAAGTTTCCAATTGATGTGTGACTTCGTAGGAATACATGAAAAAATACTGATACTGTATAAGAAACATCAAATAACTTTATAAGAGATTTAAATATTACACTTTGGATGGTTTGATAAAAAAATTTCTGTTAAATAATTATCTGATGATTGCAATTGTCTACAACACAACAAACATTGACCTCAATGCAGTTTTTGTTTAATTGTTTTTCTTATTTTTTAAATTTTATCTTAATATCCAGATTTTTTTAACCATGTTTTGTACAGTAAGTGCATCCTGTTAGAACAGGGGCGCCCAAACTTTTTCGTATAAATGGCCAAAAATCAAATATCATTGATAGCCATGGGCCGAAGGTAAATATACCAAACTGTATTACATTAAAGTTGCCATAGGTAATTTCCTAATTTATGTAATAATGTTTTAAAATAAACAGAAAACATTACTTTAAATCCTATTAACTAATGCAGTATACCATTTAAATCATTTAAAATGATTGCAATAAAAACATAAACAGTCACACTTACAGTATAAGTGGGCATTTACAGTGGAGTAGTTCAATGCTAAATACACTAGTCAAGCAGAATCTGCCTTTGCCTTGATTTGCTCACCAAAAGTCTGTTGGTGACAGTATATACATTTGCACTAAATTAAAGAATTAGTTTCAGTTTTACCAATAAAACAAAAAAGGTTACATTAGCTTTGAAATTACAATCTCTAAACCATCCCCAATATATTTCCTCTCCTCTCAAATGGGATTGTGGGCCAAACCAAACATATCCATGGTTCAACTTTGGTCCACGGGCCATAATTTGGGCATCTATCTGTTAAATGGAGGAGTTTCCCCCAAAATTAAATATACCCCATTTACTCATCTTCAAACCATCCTTATGGCATATGGCTTTTTTGTCAGACGAACACAATTTTATCCTGGCTCTTTAATCCCACTATAATCTTGAAATTAATCTAGATGAATCTAGATTAAAATGGCTCATTTGAATTCTGCCGAAGCCATTCAGAACATGTGTGCTACCCAAATAATAAGCCTTTGAGAACGGGTTTCTCAAGCCAGGTGGCGCATTAGACCAGGGGCTCATCTCCTGTTTCCAAAATGCATCACAAACTACTTGAGAAACTGTTCTACTATGATAATTGGAGATGAAAATAAATGATGTTCAATAAGATGTGCTTATATTTACTAACTGTTTATTCGGTTAAACATAAATGTTGAACTGTAGGCCTACATAAGCTCCAAACAGCGATTTTTGATTACCTAAAGTCATAACTGAGCTAAACAGAAATGGAATTAAGACGTGGAGTAAGCAGATATTACTGGTATTGTTGAAGTAAACACCGCAATTAAACTATTACCATCATGCCATTTTTTCCGATAAGATCCACACCGAACCGCACAGACGCACACACACACACATCGCAAAATGTGGAAGTTTTTTCTTTCCATTTGACGTGCATTATTAAATTCCATGACATTCTCACCAGCCCTTACTCCCTATTTGCGTCTAATACCTGAGTTTGTCACAGGGGATGAATGAAATGTTCATGAGTTAAAGTGAAACTTCCGAACTGCAGTTGAAGTCCGGCATCCTGCTGATTTGATTCAGAAGGGCACTTTTTTGTCAGACGGCTCACCGCTCAGGTATACTTCCTCGCTAAAATATCAAAGTGAAAGTCATCATAGCTTGCGTAGAATAGACCAAGGCTGCGTCCGAAACCGCATACTTCCATACTATATAGTACGCTAAAATCAGTATGCGAGCCGAGCAGTATGTCCGAATTCATAGAATTCGAAAAACAGTATGCGAGAAGTACCCGGATGACTTACTACTTCCGGCGAGATTCTAGAGTGCGCATCCCATGCATGCTGCGCTATCCCATAATGCCCCGCGAGCAAATTCATGAATGGGAGTAAAGCGACGCAACTGACGCAGGCAGGTCATGTGACCATGACAAAATGGCGGATGTAGTACGTCTGAATTCCATTCATACTTTTCAGGTTCATACTGCATAGAACATACTTTTCTAATGGAGGAGTAGCACGTTTAAATTCAAATGCAGCACCTACTGAGTAGTATGTATATATATGTATATGTGTGTGTGTGTGTGTGTGTGTGTATGTGTGTGTGTATATATATATATATATATTTCTAATTTTAAAATTCTAAAACTTCCAGTGGTTGCCAATTGCACATTCATAAGGCACATTCATATTGATATGTGTCCAATTTTAAGCATAGTACATCATCATTAATGAAATGCAATTTTTTTATAACTCATTAAAACGATTTTTAGGCTTTGATCCAAATTTTGGTGACTGTCACTTTAAATTCAAATGAGAATATGCAATTTTCAAAAGAGGGCGGAGCTAAAAACCCTATGCCTATGCATAGTGGCAGATAGCTGCTTCCACTCAAGGCTGACGAGGGAGAGATGGTCACTAATGGCTGGGTTTTTCCCCTCTGTAAATCTAAGTTTCTGTAAATCAAAGTTTCTGCAGACTGTTTTTATCAAGTGTGATTATAAAAAAATAAAATTATTTAATTTTTACCATTAGAGGCTGGTTATGTTCACACACTGTTGCCACACAACGGTGTATAAACCCTTTATGAAAATGATTTTTGCATAACAGGTCGTCTTTAACATGAAATCTGTAATGCAGGGTTTACATTAGTCTCCTCTGTCCATCAGGTGTGATCGCCACACACAGGATAACAGCGAGTTCTCCAGACACTGACCTGCCGACGGTCATTGGCCTGAGAGTGAGTGTTTGAGACATCAGTTAACTGAAAGCAGTGATTCAAGCATCTTTATAAACACATATTCTCTGTACCTCAGAAAATGGGAGCGTTCTTCACCACCAGTAATAAAGAGACCGTGAGCAAGAGTGACGTCCTTTTCCTGGCGGTCAAGCCTCATATCATTCCCTTTGTCCTGGACGAGATCGGCCCAGACATTGAAGACCGCCACCTCATCGTCTCCTGTGCTGCAGGAGTGACCATCAGCTCCATCGAGAAGGTCAGACTGCTGCTTTCTGTCTTTTATTATAAAATGTTCTGCCTGTTAAAATCAGAGTGGCACGTTTTTCCTCATGCTTGCAGAAAAAGGCTTACTAAAAACAGAATATATTATTCTGTTTTATATTATAGAAAATATTCATGATGTCTGACCTTTGATATTGCAGAAACTGCTGCAGTACCGTTCAGCACCTAAAGTCATTCGCTGCATGACAAACACCCCGGTGGTGGTCCGCGAGGGGGCCACGGTTTACGCCACAGGCACCCATGCGGAGGTGGAGGACGGGAAGCTCCTGGAGCAGCTAATGGCCAGTGTGGGCTACTGCACCGAGGTGGAAGAGGACCTGATTGATGCCGTCACTGGCCTCAGTGGCAGTGGACCAGCCTATGTAAGCAACAATCAAGCAATCATACATTGACCTCCTGGTGGATTCCCAAATTTACACCATACTGTAGTCATTTGTAGTAGTTACTATCATGTTTTTTTTTTATCTGTACCATACAGTAAAGAATCATTTACTATGAATGACTGTAGTGTTTTTAAAGTGGGTTTTGCTTAAGACTACTTTTATCCTAATCTTAGGCATTCACAGCGGTTGATGCTCTTGCTGATGGAGGGGTGAAGATGGGATTGCCCAGAAGACTGGCTGTACGACTGGGAGCTCAGGCCCTGCTTGTTAGTCTCTCATAGTATCTGAATCCTTTTTCACAATGAAAATCTGATCATCTGCGCTTGAAATTTACAATAAAATTATGTTTTGTTTTGTTTTTTTTTGCAAGGGAGCGGCAAAAATGCTCCTTGAGTCAGAGCAACACCCTGGACAGTTAAAGGACAACGTGGCTTCGCCTGGAGGTGCTACAATCCACGCTTTGCATGTGATGGAAAGTGGCGGTTTCCGCAGCCTCCTGATCAATGCTGTGGAGGCTTCGTGCATTAGAACCAGGTGGAGTGACTTTTTCAGCTAGTTGTGTTAATCTGGCCGTCTTAATTCAGAAGGAATTAAGAGATAAATAGGAAATAAAGGGATAGTTCACCAAAAAAAGGAAAGATTTTGTCATTATTTACTCATGTTTAAGCTTCTTTCTTCTGTTGAGGGCAGACAAAGATATTTGGAGGATAGCTGGAAACCTCAAACCATTACTTTTCATAATAAGTCAGTGGTTAGTGGTTTTCAGCTTTTTTCAAAATACTTAATGTTTTGAAACCATCTGAGGGAGAGTAAATAGTGAGCAAAACCTCATTTTTGGGTGAAATATGCCTTTAGGTTCTTCACTAATTGATAACTACAGTTATATTCCCTGTATTTACTTGTTTTTTTTAATGAAAACAAGAACCTTTCAACTTGAAAATAACCATTAATAAGACATATATATATAAGATGGATATCGCTGTCACCTCACTTTGGCAATTGGCATTTCTGTGTGGAGTTTGCCTGTTCTCCTCTTGTTGCTGTGGGTTTTCTCAGGGTGCTTCTGTTTCCCCCACGGTCCAAAGACATGCGCTATAGATGAATTGGGTAAGCTAAATTGTCCGTAGTATGTGTTTGTGAATTGGTGTTTCCCAGTGATGGGTTGCAGCTGGAAGGGCATCCGCTGCATAAAACATATGCTGGAAAAGGTGGCGGTTCATTCTGCTGTGGTGACCCCTGATTAATAAAGGACTAAGTCGGAAAGGAAATGAATGAATGAACAAGACATTCAAATCCCTTGTTAAATCTCAGAACTTCTGGATGAAATGCGTGTCTAAACGTCAAACAGGATTTCTAATAATTGAAGCTGGTAAATTTTCGTTAGTTGTTTAATAATGATTAAAAACATCTTGAGTTGGTTGATTAAGTGTGTTTCAGTTTAATTAATTTCACAAGTTGTAGTTGTTTTTTTTCCTCTGTCCCTTAGTGTTTCTTCTTGTTATCAAGTCTCTTCAATAACACTCTCATCACTCAATCACTAAACACACCATTTAAAAACTTAATTATCTTCATCTTCAATCTCTTCATTTACAGTGGGGGAAAGTATTCAACACGTCATGTTTTTTTTTTTTTTTTCCTGAGAATAATTCCAAAGGAGCTGTTGACATAGAATTGAACCAGATTTTGGTAAAACCCAAACAATACAACCATAAACACAAAAAAGGAAAATAAAATGTTTAAAAACAATGAAATGACACTAGGAGAAAGTACTGAAATGTCTTTAGTACTTTATATAATAGGCTTTTTTATGATGGCAGATTAAATACGCCTCTCATGTGGAGAATTAAGTCACATCAGTTGCTAAGGTGTGAGTTTTTTTTAAATTGGATTTAAGTCAGGTGATTGGCTGGGCCATTCTACAGCATGATTTTCTTTCTCTGAAAGCATTTGAGAGTTTCCTTGGCTGTGTTTTGGATCATCGTCTTGCTGAAATGTCCACCCTGGTTTCCTCTTCCTGCTAATGTAGATGTTAGACTGAAGCAGCGAATATTCATTTACAATGAGGAAGATCAGAGGGTTGCTGAAGAACTACTGAGAGATTTCATCTGCTGTCTGGGCTTTCACTGTCTTTCTACACCTCTCTTTCTTCATATGTTCAATACCTTTTTTCCTGTGTAATTTCATTTTATTACACATAACTTTGTGTTTGCACGGTCATAGAACAGATCCAATTTGTCTCACACATGAGCAAAAAATTGGAAATGGGTCACATTTAACTTAATTTAACAGTCTTCAACTGTGACCTAATAACTTCTAAATACAATGCCTTTTGAATGTACAGAGGAAGACCATTCCACCGTTTTGTTCCTACCACAGCAAGTGAACAGTCGCCACTGTCACTGATTACAAGATCTAATTGATCTGGCCGATGTATGAGACCCTAAAACCTAAATTAAACCTACTTGATACGTGATCTAGGTTTTCCATCTTTGAACAGATTTGTCTCATTTCAAGCTCACTCTCTTTCTTCTCTTTTTTTTTGACAGGGAGCTTCAGTATTTGGCAGATCAAGAGAAGATCTCTCCCGCTGCCATCAAGAAGACGACTCTGGACAAAGTGCTCCAGCAGCCGGGGGTGACAGCAGCAGGGGTCGGGGTCCGGACAGGAATCAACCTCTTTAACAGTACAAACCCCAAACACAAGAAAAGCTGAACCCAATTAGCAGAACAACCAACTGACACATAGACAAAACCACTCCAAAGATTTGCAGATCAGATGATAGAACCAAAAATACTTGAAATAGTCTTCATGAACTGGTTAGTGGGATTCACAGTTGAAACCAGAAGTTTAAATACACAAAACATAACCATTAAAAAAAAAAAGTCTGATGGTTAATCATACTAAATGTTTACTATTTTAGGTCCATTAGGATTACCTACAGTAAATGATTTACATTTGCTAAATGCCAGAATTTTTTTTGAGAATTTTTATTAATTTCTAGACGGTCAAAAGTTGACACACATTTCCACATTTTTTTTAGCTTTGCTTTTAAACTGTATAACTTTGGTCAAATGTTTTGGGAATCCTTCCACAAGCTTTTCACAATAGTTTGAAGGAATTTTGGCCCATTACTCTTGACAGAATTAGTGTAACTGAGTCAGATTTGTAGGCTGTACTGCTTGCACAAGCTTTTTCAACTCTGCCCACAAATTTTCTATAGGATTGAGATCAGGGCTTTGTGATGGCCACTCCAAAACATTCACTCTGTTGTCCTTAAAGCACATTTGAACTAATTTGGCAGTATGCTTAGGTTCATGGTCTGTTTGGAAGACCCATTTGTGGCCGAGTTTTAATTTCTTGGCTGATGTCTTGAGATGTGGCTTCAGTATTTCTACATAATGTTCTTTCCTCATGATGCCATCTATGTTGTGAAGTGGACCAGTCCCTCCTACAGCAAAACAGCCCCACAACATGATGCTGCCGCCCCCATACTTCACAGTTGGGATGGTGTTCCTAGGCTTGTAAGCTTTACCCATTGTTCTCCAAATGTAACACTGGTTATTAAGGCCAAACAGTTCAATCAGAATAACAGGACATGTCTCCAAAATTTAGTCTTTTCCCAGTGTAATTTAGCAAATTGTAATCTGCCTTTTTTGTTGATTCTGGCTTGTTGATTTTCCCATGTTGTCACACAAGGAAGCAGTGTGCTTGCGGTTTTCCTTAAATCCTATTCTACAGTTGTGCCTCCAATTAACTCAGAGGTTGTCAATTAGCCAATCAGAAACTTCCAAACCCTTGACACCATCATCTGAGCTTTTTCAGAGGCAGAATAATCTTATTGAATGTAAACTTGACTTTCAAGAAAAGTTATAACAATTTCTCAAAATATCTCTCTCATTATTCTGCTATTAAGCATAACAGAAACACATTTGGTAATCCTAACCTAGCTAAAAAAAGTTTAGTCACATTAATATCTGACTTTTAAAAAAATGATTATGTGCCTTTTTATACAATGCATGTAAATTTCCTCTGGTTTCAACTGTATATATTTTATTCTGTGCTCAGATACAATTTTATATTGCGCTTTTAGCTAACGCTAGTTTGGACCAACTTTAAGCAATAATTTCTGTTGATATACACTGTAACCGCTGTAACTGTATTTAATAAATCATGTCTAATCTAGAAAGATCATGATGAATTTCTTTTTAAATCTCTATATATATATATATATATATATATATATATATATATATATATATATATATATATATATATATATATATATATATATATATTCTGAGCAAAGTTTATACTAGTCTGTAGTTTTCACGTCAGTTTTGTTATGGCGTAATTGTATAAGATTTAAGGTTGGCAGACTCCAAACTGATGGTCAGCCATCGGTGAATGTCTCTCTGGCCTTGTATGTCTCATCAGGTTTACATCAGTATACAGAATCAGCATCTGTGTAAGAAAACATTCTAATTGACTGTTCAGTTATATATTTATATAGTTATCAGTTATATAGTTTATATATATATATATATATATATATATATATATATATATATATATATATATATATATATATATATACACAGTTGAAGTCAGAATTATTAGCCCCCCTCAATTTATTTATTATTTTTTCTGTTTTAAATATTTCCTTATTTCATTTAAGTTATGTTTAACTGAGCAGGGAACTTATCAGAGTATGTCTGATATTATTTTTTCTTCTGGAGAAGGTCTTACTTGTTTTATTTCAGCTAGAATAGAATCAGTTACTATTTTTTTAAACACCATTTTAAGTTTTTTTTTTCGGTAGTCTACAGAACAAACCATCGTTATAGAATAACTTGCCTAATTACCCTAACCTGCCTAGTTAACCTAATTAACCTAGTTAAGCCTTTAAATGTCACTTTAAGCTGTATAGAAGTGTCTTGAAAAATATCTTGTAAAATATTATTTACTGTCATCATGACAAAGATAAAATAAATCAGTTATAAGAAATGAGTTATTAAAACTATTATGTTTAGAAATCTGATGAAAAAAATCTACTCTCTCTTAAACCGAAATTAGGGCAAAGAATAAACAGAGGCTAATAACTTTGACTATAACTGTAGATATATTAACTATATAACTGATAACTATATAACTGATAACTGTATAACTGAATAGCCAATCAGAATGTTTTTTTACACAGATGCTGATTCTATATACCTATGTAAACCTGATGATTTATATATATATATGTAACATGCAGTTTATTTTTCAAAAATGCTAGTGCCCCTTACCTGGAGTTTCTTAGGGCCCCTAAATAACTAAGTCCACCCTTGTCTACAGTATCCTGTAAACTTGTAAGAAATACAGCTTGTGGTGTGTTGTGTGACTGTCCATCTATCCACTTTTTATAAGATCAGACTTGTTTCCAGGCATTCCAATATGAGCAATCTAAAAATACAATAACAGTACATTATAAAGAGTATAAGGAAACAGTACAGTATAAAGAAATGCTTTGTTAAAGATACCTCCGAGTTACACAAGTGTCCACTTCTGGTGGATCATCTAAATGGGGCTGCCTTTCATTCCACTTTTTATTGACATCTTTTTATTGACATCTTTTTATTGACATTGTACTCAATTAAACAAAAATTTCCAAACGTTAAACACATTTTATTTGAGTCAACAGACCCCCCCACCCCCCTCCTCCAATCCTACTGCAACATTTTTATACATTATATTATGCGCACATCATTCTATATAAAACATGCATACATGAGCAATTACAAGTAGATAAAGTTCCCTTATATGTTCACTCATCTAGTGTACATGTACAGTTGAACTCAGAATTATTAGCCCCCCTGAATTATTATTAGCTGTTTATTTATTTTTCCCCCAATTTCTCTTTAAAAAAATTTTCAACAAATTTCTAAACATAATAGTTTTAATAACTCATTTCTAATTCTCATTTTTACCACAGTAAATAATATTTGACTAGATATTTTCCAACACACGTCTATACAGCTTAAAGTGGCATCTAAAGGCTTAACTAGGTTAATTAGGTTAACTAGGCAGGTTAGGGTAATTAGGCAAGTTATTCTATAATGATGGTTTGTTCTGTAGACTATTGAAAACAAAATGCTTTTAAATAAAATGGAGTGAAGAAAAAAAAAGAGAAACCATTATTTCACTTTTACATGTGTATTTGCAGTTTTCCCTTCCCTTGTTCCCTCGGGGGGTGTCCCCACTGCCATTTAAAAGTGCATTCCATGAGGGAAGCGTACATGAACATATTTTAGTTAAATACAAGCCGAAAAAAGGCTTATGCTATATACACATATATATATGTGTGTGTGTGTGTGTGTATAAATATATATATATATATATATATATATATATATCTGTGTAAATCTACAGAAATTAAAATATTATTGTTTCTTACATTTATATAGTGATTTTCTGGATACTCGAAGCGCTTTATACATTTTTTGAGGGAAACTTTTGACAGGTATATATATATATATATATATATGTGTATGTATGCATGTATGTATGCATGTATGCATGCATGTATATATATATATATATATATATATATATATATATATATATATATATCGCTATATAAATGTAAGAAACAATAATATTTTAATTTCTGTAGATTTACACAGATGTGTGTGTGTGTTTGTGTGTGTGTTTGTGTGTGTTATAGAGATATGGAGAGAATAGTGCACGCACTTCAGAGGAACAATTCATTTGAAGAAATAAAAAAATAACCTCGATTAAACAATTAACTGCTCTGCTCTGCTAACCATTTACAATACCATGAATTTACCAAACTATAATGAATAAATAAACTCAATGAATTACTTGTGTGTTAGTAACCGTATGATTTGTTAGACTGACCTAGCTAGTGTTGTAAGCACAGATTATCATCACACATCACAAGTTAATTTACCCAAATTGACGCAAGCACAGACAGAAACACAATAATGGTGACTATGTAGAGGATGAAGAAGATGGTGTCCGTCATTTCTGCCACTCGCATCCAGCAAAGTGAAATCTTAATCTCATTCTGGTCTGGAGGAATCTGCACTTCTCTGACACCATCTAAAGTAGAACAGAAAACAAATGAAACAGGACACACTTAATGTTTTTGTAGCCTAAATCATGTACAGATCAAGTCAGAATGATCAGCCCTCCTGAATTATCAGTCCCGTTATATATTTTTCTCCAATTTCTGTTTAATGGAGAGAAGATTGTTTTTCCAACCTATTTCTGAACATTATATTTTTAATTACTGATTTCTTTTATCTTTGCCATGATGACAGTACATAATATTTGATTATATATTTTTTAAGACACTAGTATTCAGCTTAAAGTGATATTTAAAGGCTTAAATAGGTTAATTAGGCAGGTCAATAGCCTCTTTAACACAGTACAGACCTTTCCTGAAAATTACCATGAATTTACTGGAAAGATCTTTATGTGTAAAACAGGCCCTTTTTGAAAATACCCTTAAATTCGCGATGGCAATTTTCCTGGTAAGAGAAGTTGTAACATTACCGGTAATTTGCTAGAATGCTGCTCTGTGTAAACACAGAAGTAAAATTGCCGGAAAGAGTGCGTTCATGATTAGAATGTGCTGACAAGAGATGTCTACTCAAGCCAATCAGAACACTCAGACGCATTTACATCTGCGCTGTTTATGTAAATTAAAGCCTTTGAATATTTTTCCAGACACATTTAGCTGCTCGATGTTAGTCAGATAACGTTTCTATGTTTCTTCTTAAAGCCTACTGTGTAAATAATTATCGATAAGATGCTCACGATAAGCCGCTGTTTGTTTACCTTCAAGCTCTGCTTCAGTCGCTTGACGCGTGTGCATGTGAAGCACAAATGAACATCTCGACATGTGAAAGTATTCCTCCATATGTTTTCATTGAAGTTGTTTACAATACTTATCCACGGAATTTGTAATGTAGTGAAATGTGTAGACATTTAGCTGCGGTTCGCGCTTCTGCCTTTTGGTTTTCTCTGGGCAGCTGCATTCATGATTAAGCTTTAAATAAAAGTGAAAAGCACTTCTGTGTTTACAAATACAAGTGCAGAGCTCATTTCTGCTTAATGATGTCAGAGTTTACTGGTATTTTGAAATAGATGTGTGAATGATCTTTCCCGGAATAATTCCAGAACATTCTTGCCTGCGTAAACAGCGCTTTTTAAAAAAAAAAAATTAATCAGTAAAGTAATTCCTGAAATGTTCCGGATATTTACAGGTATGGCTGTGTGAAATGGGCTATTGTATAACAGTGGTTTGTTTTGTAGAGATTGGAAAAAAAATTGCATAAAAGGGTAATGATATTGACCTTAAAATAGGTTTAAATAAATAAAAACTGATTTTATTTTACCCAAGATAAAACAAATAATTCTCCAAGAGACAAAAATAAAATATTATAGAAAATACAGTAAAAAAAATCTGTTGGGAAATTTTTGTAAAAGACAAAAAAAAAGTCAAAAAGGAGGGCTAATAATTTTGACGTCAACTGTAATTCTCAAGTGGGGACCCTTCTGGATATGCAGGATTTGTTCTTACCATCTTGATCAATAACAGCAACTGTTCTTTGCACAAATGCAGCTGATCTAATTTCAGCTCCTTTAGCCTTCAGGTAATTCACAAAGATGGTCTCCAGTATACTGATCCCAATGAGACTGAAAATCACACTGCAGTAAATCCCTGTGAAAACATCCGAATACAGTTCAAACCAGTGAAACCAACACAACGTTATCATCATAATACAAGATTAAAACCACTGACAAAATCCGTTGATCAAAACTGCTAAAAGACGTTGCAACGATCACTTTGCTTTTAGTCTGCCTGGTCATAACACTGAACTTCCAGCCTGATCTCACGAGGAAACGTATTTTATGTTTTGTCTATTTAAAGGCTAATTCGTACAAATTCGTAAGAGTTCAGTCTTACGAAAATGTTCAATTTTAAAAAGGAGGTGTGGCACCCAATCTAACCCCAACCGTCACTGGGTGATGATGAGAAAATCGTACTAAATTGTACGAATTAGATTGTACGAATTTATACGACTTAGCCGCTAAATCAAAAAATTACGAATTGCTGTGAGATTGCATTGGAACTTTAGCAAACAGAGAGAAATTAACATGATTAGTAAAGAATCAAAGAGACCAAGTAAAGCCACCCCTTTTTACCGCAGTGGTGACTTCTGAAAACTTCTAAATATAAACTAAATTTTATATCTCACGATTAGATCTTTTGACTAAAAATAAAAAATAAAACTTTACTAAATAAGAGTCTGCATATTCATTCATTCATTTTACTTCGGCTTAAGGCTGATTTATACTTCCGCCGCAGTTTGCGCATGGTCGCATAGCCCTCGTCGCTGCAGTCACCGATGCGCACCTCTGAAAAAATTGGAACTATACATCCGGTGTTGCCAACTATTTTCAATGAAAAGGCGCTAGATTACGTCATACGTCAATTTGCATATTACTGACATCATCAGGAGCTACTGTTTCTGTTTGTTTAACATTCTATGGTTAATAAAAGGGTATTTATATTTGCACTGCGCTTTATGTATGCATGTCAATTGAACTCATTTATTGCTGTTTGAACACAGTATATCATTATAGATGTGTAGTGAATTCGCAGTAATCTCCCAGATGTAATACACTCAGACACGTTCCGAAACTGTCAATAAATCCTGTCACTAAAATATCTGTGATTGTGAACAGGAAAAGCATAAACGGTCAAATCAAATAGTTTAAATAAAGGAGAAGCAGATCGGTTTGACTGTACAATGAAAATACCTCACACTGCCCGTGCCAAATCATTTGCCGTCAGTACGCAGAGGAGTGATCTGCTTTTAGACTGCAGGTGGGAGAGAGTGCCGTCACGTCAATATGGAGCAAAATCTCTGAGGAATATTACCAGTACCTTTTTAAATCTATGCCACGAAGGATTAAGGCAGTTCTGAAGGCAAAACTCGGTACTAGTACCCACATAGCAAAATTTCTCTGGCCCAGCTCTGGCCCACACAATCAGGTTTTGCTTGGCCCACATGCCGCAGTGAATTACGGTACATGACTGGACCAAATCTGGCTTCCAGACGAGGGCCAAACACGGACCATATCTGGGCCAAGTTTCAGCCAAGTTAGTAACTCATAACTGGGCCAGATGGGTTGGTGTGTCACGATTGCAATGAAACTGATAAACCCATGGAGTGATGCGCTTTAGGCACGCTATGGGCACGCTTTTTCTCAAAGTGACCTGATTGGTAGAATTTTTTTTCTTTACTCAAAAATGATTTTAGTGTATTTTAAATGTGGGTCAAGACTGGCCAAACTCACATGGCCCACTTATCAAATTTTTAAATCTGGGCCAAATACAACGTTTTTCATCTGGCCCAAAGCTTGTGTGCCGCCTTAAAGACGGTGCCACCTCTGCCAAACCTGGGCCATGTTTGGCCCACATGCTGTATGCCAGTGCCGGATGAATGCCGGCTGTGCCAGCTTTATGCCAAATCTGGGCCAGAATTCTTTGCTACTAGGGAAGGTATACCTAATAAAATGGCCGCTGAGAGTATAACCATAGAGGCAAAGTAGAACATAATCAGTAATTAGATAACTGAAACTATATTTAGCGGGCAACAGTAACCCACAGAAATAAAAATAAAAAAGCAAATTAGCTGTCCATAATCATGATGATCAGATGCATATTTCGTTAAATTTTGATTATTACCTGTATGGTAGTCTGTACATTCTCTAATATGGAGGTAGTGCCTAATTCCTTTAGTATGTTATGAACATACTGGAGTTACACTCACCGATCAGAGGAAGCTTTTCGGCTGTAGAGGGCAGTATGTCATTAAGAATCAGCAGTAGCACAGAAATAGCCAGCAGTAAAGTCACTTTAAAGCTCAGCTTGTCTGCTCCGTCTGCGTCCATGAAGTAGGAGGTCACGTCCAGCACAAGGAAGGAAAACACTGGTAGCATAATGTTGATGACGTACAGTAAAGGTCTCCTCTTGATGGTGATCTGACATGTACAAACAGAAAAAAGATTAGTAAAGTAAACCAAATCAGTGCCTACTGGAGTTGTTATAGCTGGAAGAGTAGGGGGTGGAAGTTTACCAGGCCACAATCAACAAAAAGTTAAAAGGTATCATGATGTGGCTTTTACATTATTTCTGTTGTCCAGGGTCAAATGACCCTCTTCCTATTGGAAAAACAAAAGTTGGATCCAAGATGGCCAGCTTCAAAATGGACACCATTTTGTCACCACCCATCTTGAAAAATTTGCCCCTTTACATTTACTAATGTGCCACAAACAAGACGTATATATCACCAACCATTCCAATTTTATTAAGGTGTATTCATATAAATGGCCCACCCCGTACTTATACATTTAATTCTAGCTTGGACTCCTTAGCAATGTGCTCCTTACCTCATATACCAGCAGATCTTGAACTTCATCCAGAATCGGGGCATCAGTCTTAAAATAATTTATTAAGACGAGTTCCCACTCTCCTTGGGCCTGAAATAGATCCTTGGAATCATGAGTAAGGTTGATTGCTTCAGAAAATGGTAAAATCATCATCTCCTTACCTGAAAAAAGGCAGACATACTATATACAACCACAGACATGCATATAGAATGTAGATGGAACTGAAAACTGTTGGAGAAAAGGAATTTATTTTTATTACTTTTGTGTTTTTATTTATTAGAAAAATGTTTAGACTAACGACAGATTAATCAATCTTTTCTATTGTATTATAACACATCTTGACCAGACACACTTCCTCTTTTTTACTGTGCTGCATACTTTTAGAAAAACTGCTGACCAGAGGAAAAAGCAGAATAAGAATAAATTTAGCATTTGTTCCAGATTTCTGTTTGGGCATGTCACAAGTGTACATGATCTTTGTAGAAGTTGTGAAATATATTAAAGTATTTTGCATGTAATTGTTTAGTTCTGGTATCCAGAGAAGGGTTGCAGAAAGAGGAAGTATGTCTAGGGGTTACAAAGAGCCAAAGGACTGCAGAATGACTGATAAGTGACGTTAAACCAAAACTCCACCTGTTAAGATCAGTGGTGTATATATGCTGGAGTCAGGAAATGTATGCGAGTTGCGAACCTCCTGAATGTAATATTGTATTGCATTGGGGTATCGTAACTAAGAGCTCTGTCATCAAATTATTCATTTGTATCTAATAAATTACTAATATTTTTGGTATTCAAGAAAAACCTCTCCAGACCTTTTCTTATTGAACATGCATGGAATTGGCTTGATATTCCAACACAACTAAGGTTTTTGTTTGCCTTAAAAGTGTAGCATTGTCAATTGTCACTGTACATAGATTTTTTCTTTTAGCGGGGAAGTGATAACAAATTGAGGATCGGGGAAGGGAGGCAGGTGGAGCGAAAACGCGCTGAAGCCTTCACAAACTGAGGAGTGATCACAAACCGAAAGCGGCGAGAGCGTCAAAGTAGCCAGAAGTCATTCATTTTCAATGAGAACCGGCGGCGAGAAACTCCGGTGTGGGCATTGAGGAGAGTTGAAATCAAGTCAACTTTATGGTATGAGCTATGACGCGGTTTGGCGGCAAGCAATCAGAATGAAGTATTCCATCGCTTGAGAGGTGTTCAGAGAATACAGACCTGTGAACTTTGGTTCCGACCACAGTTGTTCCCAAGAGTTTGATTATTGCGGTGGCCGAAATTTCAATTATTGAAAATCGTGACGACGCGGGGCCTTCCCCGCGGTGCGTGCCCTGCAGGCCCGTCCACTACGCCACTGTCTGTGTCGAGTTTCTTCGCTGGTGTTTTGTTCTTTCTGAACACTTCCTTAATGTACAAGTGGTTCAAACTCGCTCATTTTGAGGCAGGATCCGGCGGACCTGCAACAACTTTAACCATGAGGTAAAAACAAAAGAAAACTTTCCATCCAGAGCTCCTTCACGGGACTCCACACATGTAAAACAATTGCTCCATCGGGCTCGTGCGATTCTCGGTCCCGCCCACACTCGTCACCACTACCAAGCCGACCAATCACAGAGCTTGCGCTATGCGTCGTTGCGACGTATAGTTACAATTTTTGACAGTTGTACGTCAGCGACGGTGAGGGCTATAGGCTGATTTATACTTCAGCGTCAAGAGCATGCATATGCTACGGCGCAGCCTACGTGGACGCATAGCCCCTTGCTGTGGCCGTCGTTGACACGCACCTCTCAAAAAATGTAACGCGTACATGTAGCACAACTCTGTATTTGGATGGCTGCGTAGCGCTAACGAGTATGGGCAGAGGTGAGAGCTGCGTGAGAGTGATGCAGCGGGTGTTTACAAGTGTCGACTCTCGTGAAGGAGCTCCGGATGGAGACTGTTATTATGAATAAAGTTGTTGCACGTCCGCCGATTCCGGCCTCAAAATGTGTAAGTTTAAGCCAAATGTACATTCAGGAAGCGTTTAGAACAAACAAAACACCAGCGAAGAAACTCAAAACAGTGGAACATAAACACCTACTGCCAGCTAGCGTTTTGGAAGTGTATTGCAGAGCAACAGAAACCGCACACAGAAGTATTAATGGAGGGCTACGCGCAAGGCTTGCGCCGTGGGTCATGCCGATCACTTGATGGACAAGTATAAACCAGGCTAATGCGTCCACGCGTAGACCGTGCCATAGTATACACGTGCGCTTGATGCAGAAGTATAAACCAGAGTGGCAGAGCAGTCAGGGCGGCGTCCGCGACGCATCTTACATCACCCACCCACACCCACAACCCATTCACTATGCCTGCGACACACCCTGCATCATCTCAGCACCCCCTCTCTTCACTTTTGTCTGCAACAAATCCCACATCATTTCAACACCCTGCCACGTAGCGCACCAATTGAGCTTGCTCTGGCCCTGGACTTGACATTAACACCCGCCAACCCCCCAAATGTGGGTAGATTTCTGCCGTGGCAGGTTATACAGCTGCTCCAACTAGCCACTTTGGCTGGTTGAAAATCATTTTTAAATTCCAGTTTTTTGTTGAGTTCAATATTAATGATGGCCCATTAGTGTGGGTCAGTGTGAGATATGACAAAAAATGTCTATGTCTGTATATTTAACTTGTTTGTCACATTATTTAAATTTCTTGGCTAATAAATATAATTTTTTTTTATTTATTTACGGTGTGGCTGGAGAAGAATTTAGTAAATCCTTAGTGCTGAGCCCTGAAAACTCAAGTGAAATAAAAACGAAACCACAATCCATTTGCTCATGCTCACTGAGCAAGGTCATACATAACACACAAAAGTCATGTGGACATAACTTCTAAATCAAGTCATTTTTGAATGCCAAAGTCACATTTATGCATATATAAAATATTTGACCAAAACAAAATTGTGGGTAGTGAAAATGGCGATGGCTAGTGATGTTGGAAAACTACTTGCCAAAGTGGCTGGTGGTCGAAAAAGTCAACCACTGTATAGATTTTTATATAATGTTATAATTTTATTATGTAGGCTCTAGACTCCCAACTTAACTGACTTTTCTATAACAAAATAAACAAAATGCTAATCCCCTGGTGGTGGCAAATACCTATTTATTTTAGATTTAATTGAATTTAATTTGATTACAATAATGTTTCAATGGAGTTTTATTGCTTATGTGTACAGGAATGAATAATACTGCTGTAAAAAGCACTGTATTTGTTTAGTGTTTTCAAACCAAATATTATTGCACTTTTGATCAAATAAGAGTACTTCTAGAAGACAATACACTGCTCTCAAATGAATTATTGAATTTTGCACTAATTAAAAAGATAGTTATGAATTAAAAAATATAACTATTGCAAAGTACTAATACATACACACACACACACACACATGCATATACATACTTGAATAGACTGCAGAGTGAAATGATATGTTGCAGATCTGGGTGTCAAAAGGAAATTTGTATAAATCCATCTTGCAAGCTGTGGTCAGAGCCATAATATCGACTGAGAGTAACATTCCAAACAAGAACCACTGGACATATGGAGACTCCTTGGTTCCAAAATCTGTCTTGATGCTAAAAGAATAACAAATGCTTGTTAAAATACGGTTTGGGATCTTTAATCCAGAACTTAATCTGCCTGGAGCAGTACAGCAAAGCAGTTTAAGTTACCATGGCAAATAATGCCCCGTTTCCACTGAGTGGTACGGTACCAGGCCCGGATTGGCTAATCGGGAGGACAGGGAGAATTCCCGGTGGGCCGGTCCGTTTTTTTGGCCGCGAGGGCCGGTGTCCCTAGCTGCTTGCACTCTCAGCAGTCGCGCGTTTTTCATTCATTTATTTATTTATTTGACAATAGTCTCACTCTTTTCATTCATTATTTTGCCGCATCTCCGCCCTTTTTTATTTATTTTCTCGCAGCCCCGTCAGCAAAATGCAGCCTGCAGGTTAATGATGACGTAACGTAACTATTATTCGACCCCAAACAGCGGCACCTTAGTGAATATAAAAATTTGAATAATTAATATTAATGAATATTACACCTGCTCAATGAAAATCAGATGATTCACTACATTAATAAATCTGACATAAATTGGTCAGAAATCTAGAAAGGGCTCCATTGTGGTCCAGTGGTCAGCACGTTGCGTTATGACACCGCAGGACCCGAGTTCAAGCCTTACCCATCTAATTTAAATTTTTAAATTTTTTCATTTTTATTGTTAAGACATATAATACTGTTTGGGTTGTTGGAACATTTCAAGTTCTAAAGCAGCTGTTTTCTTGAAAAAGACGTGATCGTGTTATTAGAAACTGAATTGGAAATGAGGTTATTTTAATATAATCAGTCGTGAACTGAGATGGGCCGGTCTGGCTTGAAACTCCAGGGCTGAAAAGGAGTCCCACTTCGGCCCTGTACGGTACGGTTCAGTTTGGTACGCTTTTATGGCCGGTTCCACAGTCAAAAGGTGTACTGAACCGTACCATACCATACCACTTTTTAGCACCCTTTCGAAAGGGTACCAAACACCAGGGTACCAAAAAGGTGGAGTTACAGCTGAATGCTGATTGGTTAAAAAGATACGTCACGAGCTCGTGTGGAGCTAGCCAGAATGAAAACAAAGCACCCGCCATGTTTTCATACACAGCTGAGAGATTACACTGTAAAACTATATGCATATAATAACGAGCCATGGATGACCCGAGCTCAAGGAAACCTTGTCGTTTGTTTGAACAAAATCTGCCGTGTCCTGTTGTTGTTTTACGAGGCCCTCTAAAAGTGCAAGCAGTTTTCGATTTCTTCCGGGAGCTCGCGTCTATATTTAATACAACGAACTTCTTGAGCTGATGATAATAACGTGTGTGTGATTATTGAAGTGTCTCCATCATCTGATCCATTCAGAAAGGAAAGGACAAAAGCGAGAGTGAAGCGCAAACAAAGGAGAAGCCCGACAACACACAGAAGCAAAGTGTTTCAGCAACCTGAATCACGAACAAACCGCCATGTTTAACTTTGCCATTTGGACTATTATGAACTGGGAATGACAGAATTACTTTCTAGCAGAGGTTACATGTGCTGGTGAAGATTACAGACACAGATGAGAGGTTTGCGCTTACTGTGGGCTATGTTGCGTGTTGTTTTTGAAGCTAAATAAGGACTAAATGTTTGCTGTGTGTAGTTTTTCTCTAGTTGGTAACATATCGGAGACTCTGAAGGGCTGTATGTGTTCATATATGTTGCATTTATATATTTATTTAAATAACTGCAGACGTTACAGTAAGCTATCATTGAGGTCATTGATCTGCAGTTATAATCAAATCCTGTTCATGGAAAAGTTAGCAATAAACATTTATAAACAAGTATTTATGTGTATAAAGCATCTGTTTTGTAAGAAGTGCTTCTCATATGATTTGTGAACGACCCGCACAGCTTTACTGTAGACATTTATTCGAGCGAGAATGACGTCGACTGAAACTCTCTGTCGTACACCACACCCACCAAAAGGTTACCCTTTTAAAAGGTTACCCTTTTGGTAGTGGAAACGCAATCCTTAAAAGGTGACCCGTACTGTACCCGACCCGTACTGACCTGAACCGTACCGTACTGTGCCACTCAGTGGAAACAGGCCAAAAGTGTGATTAAATCTGAGCTACTTTCATGGTACTGGAACCCCAGAATTGCTTCAGACTAAACTGAAACTTGGGTCCTGTTTACGCTGCCGGTTAAATGTGACCCAATTCCAATTTGTTTTGCTCATATGTGACACAGATTGGATCTGTTCTATGACCATGTAAACATGAAAGAAAAACATGCATTCAGATATTCAGAGATCGGTTTCAGGCCTCCTTCATATGTGGAAATAAATCAGATATAAATTGAAAATGTGACAATGCGATTACATGTAAACAGGCAGATCAGATTTATTGAGGCATTTCGTTCTGTGCGTCATTAAACTTGTGACAATGTGGTACTTCTCTGCGGTTTAATGACGTAGAAGGAAGAGCGTGTGTGGAGACACTGACGCGCTAAACAACAACAACAACAGAGGAAACATGAAGAAGGAAAGTGGTCAGTCGCCACAATTTGCTCGCTCCAGACCTGAGATCTCTCTCGTACCCACAAGTTCCTCTGAATGGTGTAAGGACGCCATATATAAACCATAGGTGCAAGCTGCGATGACGGCCCTTTCCCTCCTCCTTCGCCTCAAAATCATTTTAAAGTTGGACGAACTTTGCATATATCGCAGAGCTAAAAGCAAGACTTTGGCTGCGTCCAAAACCACCTACTACTCAGTAGATACTGCATTTGAATTTAAACGTGCTACTCGGCCGTGATGCCGCGTTCACCCCAGACACGGCACGCGCGTCAAGCGCGAGTTATTTACAAGTTAGGTCAATGCAAACGCGCGAATAGACATCCTGCGGCACGATACGCGCGAATGGCACGGTGCGAATGATGCAAATTGCGCAAATGGCGCGGGGCGAATTGAGCGTTTTGCGCGTTTGACGCGCTTGATAAGCGTTTCGCGCGAATCTTTTGATTTCGAAAATCTGAACTTCAGCGTACATTCGCGCCGCGTTAACCAATCAGAAGCTTGCTCTTGTGGGGGCGTGATTGTGACGTAGAACCTGTTGTCGGTGTTCCGGGGGAAATCCTCCAGGCGACACCGACAACAAGTCATCAAACTCGGCTTGGCTCGGTCAGAGGCACCGCTGAAAGTGTCCGTCATCCAGGTTAAGTTTCTGGAGGAGTTTATGAGCTCACAGAGCTGGATGCACCTCTGAAAGAATGTAGTGGACTCAGACACGACCCTAAACGTATCGACGCTGTTTTTCAGTCTTCATAAAGCACATAAACACTGTTATTTTCTTCATAAAATCCATGTTTAGCTATGAAGTTAGAGTCTTCGGGCATACAGAAGCCTTGCCCATCACGCAAATCCGCGTCTGTTCTGATGTGAATTTGACACGCAAATGAAGCTGGGTTTGACGTGCGTATGAAGCGAGTAAACTCAAATGTTCACGCGGATATTTACGCGCAAATAGCGCGATTTATGCGCGCGTTCCACGTCTGGTGTGAACACATTATTAGAAAAGTATGTTCTATACAGTATGAATGTGAAAAGTATGAATGTAATTCGGACGTACTACATCGGCCATTTTGTCATGGTCACGTGACCTACCTGCGTCAGTTGCGTCGCCTCACTTCCATTCATGAATTCTCTCGTGGGGCATTATGGGATAGCACGGCGTGCATAGGATGCACACTCCAGAATCTCGCCGGAAGTAGTAAGTCATCCGGGTACTTCTCGCATACTGATTTTCAAATTCTATGAATTCGGACATACTACTCGGCTCGCATACTGATTTTAGCACACTATATAGTTTGGAAGTATGCTGTTTCGGACGCAGCCAATTTCTGTCATCGTGGCTAGTGTGGTGCAGATGCTAGAACCCGCCTTTATATATACATGGTGTCGTAAATTGTATAGCAAGTATAAACACTTGAATCGGATATAGGTCATAATTAAAAAACGTGTAAAGCAGGGGTGTCCAAACTCAGTCCTTGAGGTCCGGTGTCCTGCAGATTTTAGCTCCATCCTTGCAGGTGAGTTAAGGCAAGTTGCTTCTAGAAAGCCTAGTAAGAGCTTGATTAGCTAGCCCAGGTGTGTCTGATTGGGTTGTAACTAAACTTTGCAGAACATCGAACCTCCAGGATCAGGTTTGGACATGGTGTAAACAGACAGGCAAACAAATCTGATATAGGCAAAAGGGTTAGAATTGGGCATCAAGACCTGACTGTGTAAACAAGGCCTTAGTTAAGCATCCAATCCAGCTCCATTGAACAGGCCACGATAACATTTCTTACAAGTTTGGATCACAAACTACAACTGACTTCAGTCACAGACTTTGATGAAATCAACTGAAATAAAACACATGTTAAACAACCTAACAAACAGTATCAGCAGCTTCACTTATTACTGACATGTTTGACTATTCCAGTCACATTAGATCCCTATCCTGTAAAACTCAAATCTTAACAGAAACCTGGCTTAAACCAGATTTCATGACCTTAAACAAGCCTTGAAGCATATCAACGGATATCAAAGATATCATTACAAACACAAGCCCTGTCTTAAAGGAAAGTTGAAGGCGTTGGCAAAATAAATAGCAATATTTTTGGTGTCACTCAGCAATCTGGCTTCAATTACAATTCATTCGAAGTAATAGTGTATATTTCAGTGTGCAATGTAAACAGTAAATCTCAATCTATATTTATTTTAGCAATTGTACATAGGTCTCCATGGCACTACACAGACTTTACAAAAGAATTTGCTAATTAATCCAAAATTGTTTTGGCCTCAGATAATTAATAATTAATAATAATTCCTTACATTAATATAGCGCTTTTTTGGACACTCAAATCACCTTACACATCGGGGGAATCTCCTCATCCACCACCAGTGTGCAGCATCCACCTGGATGACGCGACGGCAGCCATATTGCGCCAGACCGCACACCACACATGATTGGTGGAGAGGAGGAAGAGTGATGAAGCCAATCAGGGTATGGGGATGGTTAGGATGTCATGATGGACAGAGTCCAGTGGGCAAATTTGGATTTTTAACAACCACAAAGAGTCAGGACCTCAGTTTAAGGTCTCATCCGAAAGAAGGCGCTTCACTATATATATATATATATATATATATATATATATATATATATATATATA